GTATTCCTGTGGCTTCCTTCGTACTGGATCACTCCTATTACTGACATTCATATCTGGGATGTGACTTCTAACGGGACTGAATATGTCTGCATGAGGGTTTAGCTGCAGGGTCTGGATAGGGCTTGTCATTGTCTGGGGCTGATTAAGTCGATTGTCAATGTATCCTCCTTGTGTGAAAGATAATAGATTGTCCTTTAACATATCTAATTCGCTTTTAAATTTACTAATGTTTTCCATTTGTACTTCTTGTTTCCTTTCTTGTTCCAGTTGCAACTGCTGTTGTCTCTCTTCTTGTTTCTTTTCTTTTTCCTCAAACAACTGCTGTAATTTCTCTTCTCGTTCTTCTTGTTTCTTTTCTTGTTTTTGTATTGCTGCCATCAAGTCTGCTAAGCTGTAGTTTGATTTTCCGCCTCTCGTTTCCATTTTTCTTCTCTTTTTTTTTCTATCCCACTCTCTGACACCAATTTGTTACGTCTCCATTTGTTAATTGATTTTCCGTAACTTCGTTCCGACGAAACTTTAGCGACACAAGTCCTTACTTAATAAAACTGGTTTATTCTTTCCGTATATAACTTTACCGATACACTCAACTTCAACAATCGCGCTAAAACAAACGCTATAACAACGAACGTGCTCAATAATACTCTCTGACTGCAGATCAATTACTCACTGTCTACACACACACACATTGTTGTCCCGTCACGTTGTCACCCTCTTATACATACCAGACTACCCTATATCTAGTAATCTCCCGACAATTCCCGAAGGTTCGAGAGAACGAGTCACGTGACCTCGCTGACGCAACAATAGGATGAAACAATAAAGTTAACATTTTATACTTTTTCTCCACCCCAATAAGTAAGGGGACTTTTCCGGCTATATTTGTGTTATTTAACTAAGCATATATTCTAGTAATAAATAATTTTTAAAGCCTAAAAAGACTGGATATAACTAAGAAACACAAAATATTCCTGATACATGTATCTTTTTTTTTTGTTTTACTCACACGTTTCGGATTTCTTGTATAAGTTGAAAAAACTGAGACTGACTTTTACTTTTTCTGGCATCTTCTTTTGCTTTCTGTAGAAAAGAAAATGATAAAGAAATATATGTAAGATTAATTTCAGGTTATAATAGTTTATTGCAACAGTAAGCAAGCTTAAACTAATAATATTTTATTTTATTGTAAGAATATACAACGTTAAATTCAGATTATTATATTACAGAAACATGAAATATTATATTTTATTGCAACAATAACTATTTTGGAAGACTGCGGGTTGGAAACAAGGTTCCGACGTCAGAACTGACACATCTCAAACGACGCTAAATATGAATCACGTGCCTTTCGGGAAAATATTTCATTCGGCATTATGATTATATATTTAATTTTATACGTATTTCTGATCATCTAATTTAGATCTCGATATTTCTAAACACGATAATTCATATTCCAATCTTTCAAATTTGCACTTGATAAATTTTGTTGCAATATGTTTTGCTAATTAATTATTTTTAATTTGTAAAGATATTTAATAAAATGTATTATTCACATATAATTAAGTTTATTTTTAATCTATCCAACCTGCAATATCCGAAATCTTTGGTTGGTTTGATTATTTGTTTTTAACCGTAAGCTACACAATGGGTCATCAGCACTTTGTCCACAGTAGGAAATCGAACTCCGGATTCTAACGTTGTAAATCCGTAAACTTACCGCTGACCCCCCGAGGGACAACCGAAATACCCATAATTATTAGACATGTCGCGTTTTTAAAACATCATGCTGAAAAATATACCATGAATAAACAAAAATATAATGTACGAGTATACGTCAATGCTTCAAGACATTCGGTGTTGGGTGAATATGAAACGTGCGAAAACGGTTAATTCTGCTACTGTGTTACCTACAACCGGACTTTCGAAAACCATATAGGGTTCTCAAATGTTTTAACGAATGATGGATTTGCCATCTCTCTTACTAATAACCGTTTTCAGTGGCAGATTTTGTACTTACCCTTTTGACACTCTTCTGGAACAAACTAAAAATTTGACCTTCTCTTAGATTGTTTACTATTTCCTTCACAGAATGATGAGGAGACACTAATTTTACAGTGTTGACGAAACGATAGAACTTCTGAAAAAATAACAAATCGTAAATGAAATCATAACAAAATCAATTAAAATTTTCAAGTTACATAAACAGCTCTTAATTTATGATGGAATGATATGATTGGCGTTGTTTTAAATTTGGCGCCACAAACATTGGTTATTCAACATTTTCCATTACCTTGTCTTCAACTTATAAACGTTCTAATCCTTCCCTAATTTTCGAATATTCGCGCAAAGCTACCTTAGGGCTATCTACGTTAGTTGTGCCTGATTATGAACTGACAGATTACATGAAAGGCAGCTAGTCAACAAACCCACCAACAACTGTTTGGCTACTTTTGTCTGATCGAAAAGTGGGTTTTGGCTGTCACCCTTATAACGCCTCCACAGCCCCCAAAGTGCGGAGCGTTTTTTTCTTTCGGTAATTGGACGCAAATGATGGATCCATAGAACCACAATTCTACACGCTAAATTTCGTGCCCCCCTCTTTCCAAAGCAACAATTCATATTTGTATACAACTTCTGATACTGTAAAAACGAATCTAAGTATTCTATACGTTTCATTCGTTCGTTAGTAAATTACATGGGTAATACAACAACTGTGCAAAGAACATGTTGCTTATTAAACACAACACATTAATCCAAATAATTAATAATTCTGGTGGTGATGACTAGCTGCCTTCCCTGTAGTCTTTCACTGCTAAATTAGGGACGGCTAGCGCAGATAGCCCTCATGTAGCTTTGCGCGAAATTCAAACCAAAATAATAATAAACATAAAAAAATTGAATATGGTTGAAATAACAAACAAAACAAAATAAATAAATCGATGTACCCTACGATTCCAAAGTAAAAACATGCTGCTTTAACAAGTGCATCATAAAGACTGAAAGAAGTCAACTAAATTATCTTCAACTAGGATATTGAAACAGTCATAGTCTTTGTCACGCATACTACAACAACAATCAGGATATTGAAACAGTCATAGTCTTTGTCACGCATACTACAACAACAATCGGGATATTGAAACAGACATAGTCTTTGTCACGCATACTACAACAATAATCAGGATATTGAAACAGACATAGTCTTTGTCACGCATACTACAACAATAATCAGGATATTGAAACAGTCATAGTCTTTGTCACGCATACTACAACAACAATCAGGATATTATAAAAGTGTATTATAAAAGTTGTTAAGTTCAAAGTGACGAGAAACGTACTGATTGTGGAACTACTGTGTACTAAAAGTTTGTATCGAGGAAGAATAAACTGGTTTAATCAAGAAAGGACTTGTATCACTGAAGATCCTCGGTAAGAATTTCTACCGGAGACAACAGCAGTGGCAAGAAAACCTGCAACAGTGGCAGATCGAACAGCAAAATAAACAAGAAGAGAGATTACAGCAGTTGTTGGAGGGAAAGAAACAAGAAGAGAGATTACAGCAAGGACATATGAAGAGCCAGTGTAAGAAGAATACAACC